AGTGAGGCTCCCAGACAGATGTGGGCAGAGCCCCTTCGTGGAGTGGTGCAGGTGCTTGGCCTTGAGCAGGCTCCAGTGCCGCGTCTTTTCCCCTGCTATGCTTGCTTACCTGTTTGATGTGAATAAAACCTTGACGTTGTGGAAAGACACAAGTCACTCATGGACTGATTCCCCAGGCTCTCAGCACAACAGAAGGAGACAAGAAAGTTAAGAGGGGGAGGGAGGATTCAGACCAAAAAGGGCCGCCTGAGTTAACAATTTAACTAAATTGCTAACAAAAGAGTTAACAGTATCAAATGCTGCTCTAAAGTCAAGGAGACCTAACATAAAAACACACTATTGGGACCAGCAGATGGCTTAGCGATATGTCGCTGGACTCCCGCATGGCTGAAGGTAGTTCGAGTCCCAGATCCATGCCGGGCATGTGTGTGTATGTGCCCAAGATCTCAGGAGGGGAATGGAAGAGAAGGGATTGCGGTGTGGCCATCCTCTGGGGGGGAGGGGATTTCTCACTTTTCCTCTCACTGTCTCTGTCACTCTCTGGCCAGCGCACGCACCCTAAGACAGAAATCTCTAAAAAAAAACAAAAAAACAAAAAAAAAGCTTGGCTGGATCAGGCGTGGCTGACTTGGCTGAAGCGATCTCAGATCCCAGGTGACTCTTCCCACCCCAGAAAGGATTTTCCAAAAAGCAATGTGAACAGGAAGGAAAGTGAGCTGGGTGGGGGTAGTGGGAGCTGTGTGCAGCACACCCCACCAGAAGCTCCTGAATCTTGGGGTCCCCCTGCCAGATCAAAGACATAGCACATACTTAGACCAAAACAGCATTGTTGGGTTGGTAGCCCCTGCAGTGCCAGATCCCACATGGCCGACTCAGATTCAAATCCCAGCCCAGAGGCTTGAAAAAACATGCCAGGCACGTGTATGTCTGTGCCAAAATCCCAACAGGAGAGAGGTATGGAGGTAAAAGGATTGCGGCATGACCATGCCTACTGGAGAGGCCTCTCCCCTCCCTCCTCTCTCATGCACACACCCTCTGGCTATCAAAAAAAAAAAAAAAGTGTTTCTCTAAAATCCGAACTTGATTGAGTGTCCTGTATCTCCATATGGCATCTCTAGCGGCCCTACGGAGGCTACCCATTTCTTGGCCAAAGCTTAGAGTGAGCTCTGCCTTGCCAAGGAAGGCTTTGACATCTGGCCATACCCCCAGCCCCTGCATTGTGGAGAGGGACTCTCCAGCCACAGGTCCAGGAGGAAGCTCTAGGTAAACCAAGCAGAACCCAGCGGAATGTTCAGTGAGCTGACTTTCAGGTCGAAATCACATGCAGTCCTTTCTAAACGAAGATTTGGGTGACCCCTGAGTGTCCCCACTGGCGCAGGGGGCCATGGAAAACACTGCAGTGATCGCTAGCCTCTCAGAGCCTGTCCTGCCCTGGGGAAATGAGGCCACGTCTGTGCGACGGGGACAAGACACTGTCATGCCCTTCTTGTGTGAATTTTTACTGTAAGCCTGTACTACTTTTATAAACGGCAAATGGCCAGAAAGACATTTCCATGCTGAAAACAAAGAGGACGCAGCGCAGCGGGCCCAATCAGCTGTGAGGCCCCTGCCAGAGATTCTTCAGCTCTCAATTCCTGCTCTTCGCTTGCACGTCACTGTAGGGGCGTTCAGGGATGCGCCTGGCTGTGGCTATTTTACTTTTAGCCCCTCGGAGATTCTGAACGCAGCCACTCAGTCCTCGTGCCCACCGGCCCAGAAGGTTGCTGGCGGCTGTGGTACGCTCGCCCTTCCTACTGCCCCCACTCCTGGTGATCACGTGGCTTGGTGTGGCAGGGCCTAAGCCCTGAATTGAGCCCAGCCCAGACCTGGGTTTGCTCCTGACCTGGAGGACACCCCAGATGACCTGCTCAAAAGCCCAGAGCAGAGACTGAGCACTGGCTCATGAGAGCCCAAGACAAGGCTCGCGCACCCACAACAGACCAGTCCAGGATTTGAGGGGTGTGACTTAACAAATCCTGAAAGGGGACAGTGTGTGCCCACACCTAGTGACAACAGTCTCAGTTTTTTGTTGTTGACAGTTTTTGGGTTTTTTTTTTTTTGCTTTGTTTTGTTTTCAGAGAGAGAGAGGGAAAGTGAGAAAGCCCAGGGGCAGATGGCCCCCTCAATCCTTTCTCCTCTATTTCCCCGGGACTTTGGGCACGCACGCACTACCGGTGTGTTTTTCAAGCAGCCTGGTCCAGGACTCGAAACTTAGAGTCAGCCATGGGGTATCCAGCCATCTTTTTGGTTTTTTTGTTTGTTTGTTTGTTTTTTTTGTTTTTTTTGTTTTTTGAGAGGTTTTAGCTATAGGGCATGTCCCTGCGCCTGAAAGACAGAGAGACAGAAAGTGAGAAATCACCCCCTGGGGGAATGGCCACGCTGCAATCCCTTCTCCTCCATTCTCCTCTCTGGATCTTGGCCACACCTGCACACACGCCTGGCGTGATTAACCACCACCACGCCGCAGGCTGGCCTGATGGTCTCTCTGTTTACTAGAAGTTCTCCCTAGGAAGAGCCACTGCCCACTCAGGGGTCCTACAGGAGAGTGGAGAGTGCCCCATCCCTATGGTGGGCCGGCACCCGGTGGCTGCCAGCCCTGGGTCACCAGGCCTGAGTGGAGCCCTCACTCACCTCCTACCCTGAGCCAGTTGTTTAACTGGGCGATTGGGTGAGCTAACCAACGCTGAACACCTGGAGTCAGATAATGAGTTCACAGAAAGGAGTTTATCTACCTCCTCTTTGGAGAGCCTTGATGCTGCCCTTTGGCCAGAAAGAGCTTATCATCCGCAATCTCCACAGACCCAGGACGGCTCTGGAACGTTCCCCACCCCCAAAGCTACCCTCCCTGCTTCCTTCCAGGCGAGGGGCATTGCCAGCAGCGACCGCTCTCCCAGTCCCGCGGTGCGGCCTGGCCCACGACCTTGGAGGAACCTGGGAGAAGCTTCCCCAAGCGACAGTACTTTTCCACTGCACTGCTGGGCCACCTCGGCTGCCTTTGTGCTGTTTAGACAGGAGGCACAGTGCGCCAAGCCGGCCCCATCAGCAACCCACCCGAAATCTCACTCTCAGGGCTGGGCGGAGGGTCATGCTGTGGGTGAGGGAGGGGCAGCAGCAATCCTAGAGAGAGGGGAGGGGTGCCCGATACGCCACGGGAGCTCTGGGACCACTAGTGAGGCTGGAGACATTTGCATTGGCAAAGCCCTCCCGTACATTTCAGGGGATTCCAACTCCTCTACCTCCGCTTCTACCCCCACCCCTCCAGAGAGAATGATTAAACCCGTTCCACCGCGCCGGGGCCGGGGCCGGGTCTCGGGCTGCACGAGCCTGCGCGGGGGAGGGGAGAGAGGAGCGAGAGGGGAGGGGACAGGAGAGCTAGCGGTCCCGCCCGGTGATGTAGGCAGCCCGGGAGGTGGAGCCGCGACGCCTGAAGGAGTCCCCACCGCAGCCGCGCTCTCGGTCTGCCCCACCGAGCAGCCGCCAGCCCCGGCTCCGGCCGCCAC